CGTGCAGAAAGAAAACGGCAAACTCCCTATGTTCAATTGTCAAGCGAAACTCGACAATGAACTTAACAATATGAGGCTAGCTCACTGTCTAGCTTCTCTATGCAGAGGCAAATACCACTATAGCAGTTAAGCCTGCTACAAGAAGGGAGGGGACGGCAGCAGCTGCACCGCCCTGGACAGGAGCTTTGAGGTCCTCGTCAGTCATTTCTGTCAATGATGTTTTTCGTTCTTTGAGCGCTTCGTAATACTCCTTGCTGCAACGCAAAACCAACACATGAGGAAGCATACAGTCGAATTGCAGAAGCAGAAGTTGTGTTGTATCCAGCCCTCTCCATGATTTAGCCCCCTCACTCAACACTTACTCGAAGGGAGCCTTGTTTTGCACCGCTGCAGGATCCATCTCACACAAAAGAAATGTGATACTTGTTCCTGTTCGAGCCTCCTCTGTTTTAGTGCATGTTCCTACGGCGCAGCCAACTTTGGTACTGTTAGACGAAAGAAGGCGTGCGAGGTTGGCAAAGTCGGGTTTCCCCCAGAACGTCGTCCACTCCCCCTCATCTTCAGGGTACGACTGCAGCTCACTGAGAGAAAAGCAGCAGTCAACATGACAATACCATGCAGAATTAGCATTTAAGTCAACTGGATTGGCGATGATGATGAAGATGAAGCGGGTCTGTGCCGGGCACGAGGTGTTTGAGAGTATGGCGGCTATGATTATGCAGAACTGTTCGTCACATTATCTTCTCTCCTCAGCATGACATCTCTGTGCCGTAGTCTTTTGCGTTCTTTGATTTTGTATGCATTAGTTTAATGCCCTGTGGTATTACGCTACCTACTTGCTTGTGTGTTGGTATTGTGCTGCGGGCAGTAAAGATTTACTCACTTAAATCCAGCTTCAAGGACTTTCTCCACAGCTTGGCGATATTTCTGGTCTCCAGTTTCTGTGAGCTGTGCCAAAAAGTTCGTCTTTTTCTGAAAATTCAAACAGAAGCGGAAAATGTCAAATACATTTTCGTGCTTATGCAGAGGTCCATAAACGTCTAAATGCGTATTTATGCTTGCCAGTCGAACATTTAAACGGTGGCTTTACTCACGAGTTCTGCGATGGCTTCCTCACACGTAGTGGATGGCGGGTCAGATTGCGCCGATGGTAATGCACTCTTTATCTTTTCAACCAGTTCGCTGTTCTCCGTCAATACGCCAATCCGTACAGACAACTGACCAACGCGGGCCAAGTTGATGGAGGTGTATGCATCTGCAAGCAACAGAAGCTTGCCTGGAATCAGAAGAATGGATATGCGCCCATTCCCTGGCAGGTGTATAGTGTCTACGCAATGCAGTTTACTTATTTTTTGAAGGAACAGGAAGAAATAGTCAAAACAAGGAGAGAAACGTGTGTCTGCTTACCTTTGTCTGCATCCTGAGGCTGGAACTCCAAATCTCCTGCCGCCGGCTGTAGCCCAGAGAGCGCCGCGAGGCAAAGAACAGCTGCTCCCTTGAAAATGCGTCCCATTGTCAAAAATGACAGACTAGAAACCGAACAAAACAATTAAACGGGCTACAAAGAGAAGAGTAATAAGACAAAATGAACATGGAGTGTGAGTAACAGGCAAGGACATGCCTGGGCTTGTCGAGCTTGTCGCCCATCCCTGGGCCGGTAGCCCCCCAACAGGGGGGCCTGCCACAAATCTGATGGTTCTCCGGTGCACACGAGGACTTGAATAGAAAGACAAGCTAAATAAATCCAAATCGGTGACTCCCCTTTACAAAACGACTGCAGCCGTTTGTCTCGTCGCACTCTGCGGGTTTCAAACGGAGACGAGGACTCCAACATACAAACTTACGGTAGAAGATGTGCGCGCTGGTGATTATGCAACCCGCTATACGTTATCATTTTCTTTCTATTTCCCCCCATGTTGCACGTTCTCAAACCGTCAACTGCATAGTTGCGAATGAGACCAAGCCTCAACCCGCTGTTGATGATCTCGTCGTGGATCTCTGTTCGGTGCCGACGCCTACTTCAGTGCCAATTTGGCCCGTAATGAAAAACTCCCTGTTCGCATCAGTGTAGTCACAAAGGATGACACCCTTGTTGATTTCTTGAGGTCGGCCGTAAAAGCCGCAACAGGAGAGAATGCAGAGGCTTGCCAGATATTGATAGCATCCGATATTGTGA